ACACACACACACACACACACACACACACACACACACACACACACACATAGTGGTTACTTAACTTAAGCATACAACAGCAGTACTGCAGCACTTGACCTGATTTCAGTGCAACAAAAACAAAAAGGAAGACAGGAAACCATTGGCTATTGTACTCTCATTGACGGCACAGAGCTGTCTCGTTACATAAACCCACTGAGGCCAATTACTTTATGCTAACAGCTTGCATTGTAGAGCGCACTGCATTAACCACCACTTTAAAATACTCGCAGTGCTTCATAAGGACACAAGAAAGTGTGTGTGGAGACAGTGATCCTGCAAATAAGAGCTTGTTATCTTGCAAAGTAACGTGAGAGCTCTCGTGTGTGAGCGTGTGTGTGTGTGTGCGAGAAGGCTCAAACGGCACGCTGCACCCGTGAGACTGTGATGAGCAGCAGCTATGAGCCTCTATGGGTAATTATAGAACCCGCCGGCTCTGATTCTCGCATCTTATCTCCTCAACGAGGCTGCCATGGAAGACAGGAAGCACAAACGGGAAAAAGCAGAATTCTTGTGGCGGAGTTGGATGTTACGACTGTGAAACGAGAGGAGAAATGATGGAAAGATGAAGGGAAACTGATGTTGTGAGAAATGAGAGGAGGCATCAAAATGGGGTCGACTGTCTTATGTAAAGGGTGTGATGTTAATTAGCTGCATAAATATGCAATTGCTGCACAAAAGAATTAGATGTCTTTATTAAACTAACAGTGAAATGAAATGCCTCATCGTTTATCTGCATGACACACACCTGCTCTGCGAACGTGGGCGAGTGGATGCAGTTGAACTCTCTGAGGCTGCCCTGCAGCACGCGGAGCCTCATGGAGTCCTCCACCACGTCGACGCTCTTCAGCTGGAGGTCGTTCACGGGGTCGAGGGTCGCCATGCCGCTGGGGTTGGCCTCGGCCAATCGCAGGAGCTCCTGGGTCGCCGTGGAGATGGCTTGGCCGGGAGGGTCGAGCCTGATGGACACGAGGGTGAAGGAGACGATGCAAAAAGAGGAGATGATTCATATCTTTTTCTTTGCATAAGGGCTTTTATTTTGAAAGACTTAAAGCTGACCTGAGGAGTTTCCTTGCAAACAAGCTCAATTCATGTACACATTCAGTGTTTCACACCAAAATGCATTGTCTGTTTTTCCTAAATATAAACATCGACCAAGCTCTCTCACACACCTGAATCGTGGCTGCTGCCTCTTGCTGTAGTTGTCGATGATCCTGTCCGGAATCACTTTGAGGGTTTTCACTGTGATGGCTGAGATGTCCTGAAGCGTCAACTTCTGTACCGTGTGGCTGCAAGGGCCTGACAAAAACAAGAAGGATCGCACGTGCTTATACTTCTCTGTTGCGCTCACTGCACAACTGCTCTGTAAAAAAAAAAATGGCTGAAATGTAAATGTGCTGCATGTCTGCCAACCAAACCTTCAGGTATGAAGAGCGCCGTGTTGTAGAGGTGAGGGAAAGCGTTGTTGTTGTTTGCTTTTCCTTCCTCTTCCTCGTTGCCCTTCTCGCAGATGACCAGAGCTGTGAAGGTGCGATTCACGGCGGCACTGGACACCTGGCGTGCAGAGAAAGACAGGAGAAGATCAGGAACATGCCCCACAGTCTGAGGACATGCAGGTTCGGTGATATCGAAACTCTAAACTCCCTGCAGGTGTGAAAGTCTTTGTTTGTGTGTGTCAGCCCTGCGGCAGACGGGTGATCTTCAAATGTCGCCTTTTGCTCGCTGCATGGTGGTCCCTGAGCACTGAGCATACTGGGTGTCGTCTACTAGATTGATTTAAATAGTTTTACATGAAATGTCATGTTTTCATATGTTTAGAGACATAGTGTGATTTATTAACCTACACCCATTAAAAAAAAATCTCTGCTTCATATTCTGTCCTCAACGCGTATCCCTTTTGCCCACATGTTCCTCGTCTGTTTGCTCTACTTTAATTTAAAGTTTCTTTAAAATACATATCAGAGACACAAACTACAGAAAGAAAAGCTTCATCGGGGTACATTTCAGAGGATATACAGTTCTAGTTGTCGGATTGCTTATAGAAAAGAAAACATACAAAGGATTGCCACTAAAATGAAATTCTAATTATTTAGAGGCGACAGAATTGAACAGTCTGATTAATATCTTTCAACATTTGTGACTCAACAACTCGACGTTTAACGCAGCCATCATAGCCAGGTCTCCCCAAATCCCTCAATAGGATTCAGCTGGCTAACTAAAGATTAAATAAATAAACTACTACCAGCTA